GTTGTATAATTTTTCCCCTTCTAGAGTTTCATCACCTAGGTATTTTGGATTTAGTTATAAAATGTAGCTCCTTATCTAAAGGTTCATTAAAAAATTAATGAAATTCATTTTAATTGCATGCTTTATATAGAGTTGAATAATCCTAAAATAAGCAACCTACACTAGCTTTTTAACATAGCTTCAGTTGGTACATTTTCAATCAGAACTTTGGATCTATACAATTAATTAAGCCTAACTCAAAAGAATATTTCTATGACAGCAAAATAATCAACGATCTTTATATAGAACTTCCATAATCCATTTGACAAAGGACGTATCAAATAGAATATTTTATAGGAGCTTTAATTGAGGGGAGAGATTGTTTAATTTGTCTACACCAACTAGTTGACAGGAATCCTTTGATTTAGATTTAGTTTTTTGATTTGAACATCGATCATCCTCCATTTATATTATTCATTTCGAGGTGTAAAATTGTTATAATATCGAAGTAACATTACTTTTTTCTTAACTCTCCTTAAGTTAGAACATAAATTAAGCGTATTGAAAAAAAGATAAGAGAATTTAACAAAACTATGTCATATGTTGTCAGAGTAATGTATATATATAAACTAATTATATAAAGTATTCCCCATAAACGGATACAGCAATCCTACATGTTTGACATATTATCTATTATAATTATATAGTTTGTCTCAATTCAAAATCAACTAATTAAACACGTCAGTTTGTATTGATAAATTTGTATGAAAACTTATATATGTAATATTATTTATGTTTTTATTATGGCTTGCCATTTTAGTAAACCAGAATGACTAGGTCTTAAGAAAAAAGGTGGAAAAAAGATGGAGACTCTTAACCAAGCCATATGTATGTATTTAGTAGGTTATTAAATATTATCAAAATTAGTGCCAATATCGGTGATCTCACTAGCATTGTAGTACAGAGAAATGAAATAAATTAAGGGGAAAAAATGTGAAAAGAACAAATGAAATTGACATAGGAATATTTTAAATAATTTTAAATGGTGACCCGTTGAATGAACAAGTTGATGATGCTTCACATAAAATTAAGTGCTTCCAACCGGGTGGAAAAATCAAAATATGAGAGGCTAAAATTAAAATATATAGAAATGCTTTAATTTTATTCTTTTTGTTTAATGATCGGAATATTGGACCAGCTTACACGTATTTCAATTAATCCTCTGAGATCTTATAACTACTAATAAGTACGAGCTCTAGTGGTCAATCTATAACCACAACCTTAGGACTCGACTAATTTTATCTCTTGACCTCATTTGATGCTATTCCAAGATAAGGTAGATCTATTTACAACCTTTTTTAGAGCTTTTTAGACCATGTTTGGTTAACTTTTTTTTAATATTAATCTAGGAAATGATGAATAAATAGTATATTTAGTTTGGCTCATGACCACTATAAAGGTGAAAAAATTTAAATTCTCAAGATCCTCAGTAATTTTCGAAAACTTTCAAATATTTCTCCATTAAAGAGGTTATGGTTTCTTATAGTTTTTTTAATAATTTCATATTTTTAAAAATAATTTTAAATATATTTAACACTTATAAAAAATCGTTACAGCGCTTGAGAGTATCAATCATTCACGTGTTTAATGAAATTAGCCCTTATTTAACAAACGACAAACAGTATATAATAAAATGAATTAAAACCATATCTTTACGAGTGTAGTGATTTTTTTTTTGCAAGAATTACTTTGATTCTATGTTTTGTCTCATCATTATATTTTCTAAGATAATTTTAATAATTTTTCGATTAAAATAAGTATATGCTTGGTCCAACATTACAACTGCCCTAACATTAATTAATATTCATTTAAAAGAGATGAGAAGATACCATTCTTTTCATAAAGTTTATGTCATTGCTAACAGTTTTTGTTCTCTTCGTTAATTCTTGAGTGAACGTATTTTTCATTATTTCAAGATTCTTCTTTCTTCTTTTCTACATAAAATAACTTCATAGACGACTCATTTCTTCGCCATCATAGATCTTGCAAACCCTAGAACTCATAGACAAATAGAGGGCCTTTGATCATCACTTCTTCAAAAGTAATTCGATTATTTGGTCGCCTTCAAAGATGTCGAGTTCTCCACATTATGTGCCCGTCTGGAGAATTTTCAGTGCGTGATGTAAGAATATTCATGCTTCTATTACAAATATATATAATTTTTGTAATGTTTGATGTCACTGTTTGATAATACATATTACTCGGTTTGATTATGTATAATTCATATTATTGTTTATATGCAGTGTTTTAAGTAGGGTATAATTACAATTATAATTTTTTCATAATTTTGACAAAACTTGTGCTCAAATAAAAAAAAAAAAAAAAATTGAAGCATTGAATATTATCATTATTTTATTGTAGATAACATGGGTCAATTAACTATTTCACAGATATTATGATTATATAACTTACACATTTAAAGGTTAATTTTGAGCAGTCGAATTTATGATGATTTTTTTTTAATCAAATATTATAATATTTTTTTTGGTTTAAAATTGAATAGGGCGATAAAATTACCATCCAACCCAGAGGATTTAACATTGTATGGGGCAACGACGCCGCTACTGGAAGCTACCTGAGAAGGGTACGTTATAATATTCTCTATTTCTTATATTATTATTTTGAGATATAAGAATTTTAATTAATTTCAATTACATTAATAATTAATAAATTAATCGAAAGAATATTTTGATTGTACATGCAAAGGTATACCCGCATATTACTTACCCAGAAAAAGATTGATTATTAATTAATTGGAAGAAATTAACTATCGTAAATTCATATTACTTATACAAAAATTAGTGGTTTTCATGAAATATAAATTCAATTCGGAACATGAAATATAAAAGATAGAATTTTTAAAAGACAAAATTTACTGACAAATATATGATTTCAACCTTTAAAATTATTCTTGTGGTCCCTTCCATTTTTAAACTTTACCTTTTCCCCAAGCGAATTCTTAGGTCCGCTCCCGTGATCACCGGTGCTTGATTGGAAGGAATGATCATACACGCAAACACATGGCGGAGATATTCAGGAGTCTTGGGTGGCCATGCCCATGAAAATTTTTAGAATTCATTTTTAATTGTCGCCCTCTCATTCATTAAATATTATATTTTGCCCCCAAAATAACTTCATGGCTTCACCCATTAAAATTTAAAACACCCCCAAAACATATGTAGGAATTTTGTTTTATAGTGGCGTTATGCACTTTCTTGTAGGAAAAATGATGAACCGGCAGAGCTAGTGCAGGTGTCTTGGCTTGAAGTAACTGGTTCGGTGACTGTAACGAAAGGAAAGAAGTATAAAATCTGGTTTAAGGTTTCGTTGAAAGATGGGGCGTTCGGGTGGAACGGGTGTCCGGTTTTTATGATGGCGAAGATTGGGAAGAAGGGAAGATATAGCTGGAAAAGAATAAAGCCTCTGGATCAATTCTATGGAAATAATAACAAGGAAATTCCAGAGGAAGGTTTTGAAATGGATGTCCCAGAGAATGGTGACGATCAACTCTTTTTTGGTCTTTATGAAGTTTGGAGTGGAAAATGGAAGGGAGGATTGCTTATTCATGAAGCAATCATCAAACCAGCCTAATATTTAAGCCAAAAGAAAATAAAAAATAAAAAATAAGTTGATCATATTTATACATCTGAATTTTCATGATTATTGCTTGTTTAATTACTTTTGTTAATCTTAATATGTAATATGTGTCGGCTGCAATGAAGCTGAATCATGCTTGAAAGACCAAAAGATAAAAAGGAAATAAGTGGCCTTTTTATTGTTATTTGATTCTATCTTCATTTATTTGTCTTTGCTTATTTATTTTTGATGGGAATGCTATTAGAATTTAATTATTTATATATACAATGCGAAAAAATATTTGATATTACATGATATCACGTCAAAAGTACAAGTCAATATTTGAAATATCAATAATTTATTTTTTGGGCATGCCTGTCACAATGAATATATATACTTTCCAAAATTTATGTACATAAATGATTAATTATATGGTCAATAACTTGAAAATGTTGCCCAAAGAAAAAAAAGGAAAATAACAATATTATTGTATCTCGACTTAATTATCACATTCGATGAACATAGTGACAAGTTTTTACTTTTATTAAGGCAAGTTCATTTAATGGATGATCCTAGTTTAACACAAAATAGCACAAATTTGAACTATATTCTGGTCATTAGAAAAGTATTATAATTGTCATTCGATGATCATTATCTCAATTTGTTTGGTCGACAATCGTTGATTTATCCAAACTTGTTCGGTCGAGTACAATCGATGTAGAATAAGGCATGGATTGATTCCATTGCCACTTTAAGGATGTAAGACTTTCACTTTATATATACTTCATAATCTAAAAAGAACTAATTCCAAGCTTCCTTATCACTTGGTTATCTTCCATAACTTTAATGGCTTCGGTTTTTTTTTTTAAACAAAGAATACTAGCTATTCTTGAACAGTCTTTATTTGCTTTAAGATCCTAGCCAGCTAAAGCGTGAAACCCCTGCACAGTTCCACAGTATTTTGTCTTTTGCAAATTAATAAACAAAATCTTTGTCCCAACTTAATCTGATGTGATGTTTTTCTTATATGCTGAAACATTTAACACGTACATAAATTTAATAAGGATCAAAATTAAACACCGTTGTATTCACCACATTGAACTGAATTGTAATTTACAATTCAAATCTAATAACATATATGTGTGGTTTTAACACAATTATATTAAAATGTCTTGACTAGAGAATTATTTTAGATAGTTTTACTGTAAAAATAAAGGAAATATTAAGGCGGGATTTAGGCTAACTTTTAAAAATAAAGGAAAAGGAAAAAAAGCAAGAAAAAGAAAAAGCTGAGAAACTAATTTTATTTCATGCTTTATGCTCTAACAAGAAATATATATATAATATGGTGGCATCAAGGTGAATACTTTATATCAAAATTAAAGATGAATAATGAGCATAAGCAGGATTACTCCTACCCCCATTGGAAGGCTGTTAGTTGATCAATTTTAATCATTTTAAACGTTTCATTAATTTAATTTTCATATGATTAATCATATTGTTTATGCATTACTTCTTCTTAATTAATCTTGTTTTACTTTCCAGGATGACTCTTCTTGTTACATTAAGGATTCTTCAGGATCAATTAGAGTTCCTGTCAGGGCTCTAAACATCATCTGGGGCAACGCTCCCCGATTTTGGCAATGGATCAAGCTAACCGAAGAGAACTCAAAGTACGAAATCTTATACGATTTTTTTAAATTTATTTTATACACAGTTTCTACCCCGCAGTTTCTGTTTTTCAGTCTTGAAAGTTTCCAGGGCCTCAGGATTTGAAGAAGGTGCAGTACTCAATCAGGTTAACTGGATCGAGGTCACGGGGAATTTGCATTGCTTTGCCTCTGTGGCTGGATTAGCGAAGATGTACGAAATATTTTATGTTGTGAAGTTCCAGGTTGATGCATTTGGGTGGCATTCAGTTCCGATAAAGTTCAAGGTGAAGCACAATGGAGAAGAGAGAGTGCGAAGTGTAATGCTCCAGGCTTACAGGGAGAAACAGGAGGAATGGCTTGAGATTCCTGGAGGCGATTTCACGGTTTCGGATGATAAATTTGGAGCTGTAGAGTTTGGTATGTTTGAAGTCGAGAGTGACTGGTGGAAAGGGGGCATGGTTCTTGCTGGTATCAGGGTTAAACCTAAAAAATAAGTTGATTTTATATGTTTTTTTTATATATATTTTTATTCTGAACATAAATTAAGTTACTTCAGGTTTTTTTTCTTCTTTTGATTGACCCCTGATTTCAGAGAATTTACATTATTTAAAACTTGAATTGGCATCAATTACAGGGATTACATCAGATCTTTGTATTAGGATGAACCTGATTCAAGGAAATTTTGTCATACTACATAACTGAATCATCATCACGAATTGCATTATTAACATTCAAATCGAAACACAACAGCATGAAAAAAAAAAAAAAAAAAAATTATTGTTAGAAAAGGAAAGATTATACCTAGACAGAGAGCTTTACAATTTTTCTAAGAAAATATAAAGCATTAAGGGAAACGACAGTATGAAAAATCCCAAACGTCGTCCATTAGATTTTTCTTGATCTTTACGCTGGGATGAGCCCTAGTTCAAAAAGAATTCGGTATATATATTATTATATTACATAGTAGAAGCTTGATTCTAATAAATTTTTTACTTGCCAATCCAACAGTTGGTAAAGCTTACAGATTGAAGACATCTTTAATCTAATGGTTGATAGGGAACCATTAAATAATTTATTGTATGACCCTTGAGTTAAATTTTGCTTAGTAGATTTGATTCTCTTATCTTGAGCATGGAGCAAAGGCATATTAAATGAGAGTCAATGAGTTAGCGAGCCATTCTAGTACTATATATAATTAATTGAACAGCTTCTGAGCATAAGATTTAGTTTGATAGTTTAATGCATATCATCCACCTCCCTCTATGAGTAGTAGTACTCATTTACATATTGGTTTTAGAGATTAATATAAGTCCATCACTTGATAAAATCAGCTTCTTAGAATCTGAAAAGGATTAAATAATAATAATAAAAAAATGTATTCCTGCCATATGTGATGGTGACAGAAAACCTAATCCAATATTATGATTTTTTAAGGTATAGTTTTAACGCCTGAATTTGAAGAATGGAGATTAATGTCCAACGTTTCTTCATCACAGATCGCCACCTAGATTGCAGGAAGCCCGAGACCCGCTGCAAATCCAGCCACCCAGATCGTGTAGGCCGGTTGCCGTCCGTGTTTTGTTTCCAACTTTAATTTTCTGATTATTCAAAGACTTACTCTCTAAGATGGATGGGGTAATGTTGGGTGTTTCTGAAACTAAGGGGAAAAATGTTGTTTTGTGATAGTTTGTGGTGAAAAGTAATTCAACCTTAAAAATATGTCTAAATTAAATGTAAAAACAGTGTTCAGTGTCCTTTGTCGCCTCGTTGACTGTTGGCATGTTTACAAGTCAATTTTGCGACTTAATATAAATTTATTCAGAAGACAATTTAATCCTTGGTTTACTTTAATGTTTACATAAAACTTTTAACATAATAAAAATAATTAATTTTGAAATTAGTTGAATCAAATATTTTTATAATACTTTATATGGAACTATTTAAAAGCATTTAAAGTTATTATATTTTTCTTTCCCTTTTAAAAAAAATAAATGAATTTAAGAAATAATTACGTAAATACAAAATATTATTTCAAATTAAAAAATAAAAAAAATTAATTTTAAAAATAAAATTTATTCCTAACATGAATTTGTCTCATTGAGGGACAAAAATGACTTTGAGCAGAAACAAGCACATGACAGCTGTAAGAGGGCCGACAACTCTGGGGTATGGTGAAAGGGAATATGCGAAGAAAAGGAGTTTTTAACAAGGGGTGTAAATGTTAATTTTTTCAAAACTCATGGACCTTAAAAAATAGTTTCATGACAAGTTAGTATAAACCAAGTCTCGATAATTGAAAGAAGATGATTATTTTGAAAATCCCCTGTTTCGCTCATCATCTTTGTTAACTGACTGATCGGCATACTATCACCTAGGTTCCGAAACTTGGAATGGATAGGGACATAAAAAAGGTTGCGGTAGAATTTTTTAAAGGAAAATAATATAGTCACTGAAAGTAGCGCACCGAATTTATGCACCGAATGACGTGATGTAATCCTGATCGTCGATTAATTGTGAATTAATATTAATTGACGGTCAAGATTGCGTTATGTCATTCGGTGTATGAATTCGATGAACTACTTTTAATGACTATAGCATTACTCTTTTTTAAAAGGCCTAAAGGTGGTAGAGACTATAAAAAGAGTGAAGAAGAAAAACTAGAGGTGCTCTCTCTCTCTCTGTAAATATATATTAAATTCTTAAATGAAAGTTTTTATTTTGATGCAAAATTTAATTAAGATTATTATATTTTTGTGGACATTCTAGAGGATACTAAATCTTGATTTGATTATATATATATATATACATATCAAAGTTTTTATTTTAATTATATTTGATGCAAAATTTAACTAAGATTATTATTATTTTTGTGGTCATTGTAGGGGTATATATATATACCAAGATTTAGTATCCTCTACAATGACCACAAAAATAATAATAATCTTAGTTAAATTTTGTATCAAATATAATTAAAATAAAAACTTTCATATATATATATGAAATATTTTATTAAATTTATGATATACATGTTCAGTCTTAGAATTCTTGGATCTGGGATTTGTATAGGCAAAAAATCGTCTTGGATCTAACAAGCCCCAATAACAAAATAAACATGTCATGACCCTAGGCCTTAGCCCAATTTCGGTTGGCCTTACGCTTAAATTCATATTGTAAATTGCCCATTTTATGAGTTGGACTATCCCACAAGTTAAGCTAAAACTGGGTTTCTACCCATTAGCCTACAAAAGTTCATAAATAGGAAATCAGAATCCCATTCTATTTCCTCTTCTACTAAGATCCTGAATCTTACTGAAACTAATAAACCTAATCTCGTAAGAACAAGAAATCATCTTTCTTTTTGTTATAGGGATTATCTCCCAAAGTAGGACTTAGTGTCCTACTAAGATTCCAACCCCTTGGATTCACTATAAAAACAGAGGCTTGCCATCTCATAAAGCGGAAAATCTCTACTACTCAAAACCACCTACTTGCTCCTAAGTTCTTGCTACCAAGAACCCGACGCCTTTGCCGTAGTCCTGGTTTCTGACAAAACTTATAGTAATCATTCTTTCCTTAATTCTTATTAAATACTCTCTTTCAACCTTGCTGACTTGAGCGTCGGAGTGCCTACGGTAAACACCACCCCAGTGTTTCTCGTAAGCTTCACACTTGTCTTTTCATGTGTGTAGGTTCAGCGGATTGTCAGTGGCCTCAATCATGGGATCAAACCTTATTTCCGTAAACATAGATTTTTTGCATTTACAGTTTGGCGCTCACCGTGGGGCTTCTGATAATCATCATTCCGTCAGTGATCTGCTCCACAAAGAATCACTTCATGACTGAAATCACGGACAATGCTTCTCTAGCTCTAGTGGCTTAGGTCGCGACCCTCTCTGCCTTAATGCAACAACACATTGACAAAGTCACAACATTGGAAGCTGAGAACGTTAGCATCAGGCTGAGAACCAAACCCCATCAGACAAGGTAACTCAGTCCTTTCTCGATTTCCCATACAATCAAGTGCTAGAGAACTGCTTTTGCGTCCCAGTAAATTCCATGCAACCTTTAATGACCCCAAACCCCAAACCCACAACCTCGCCTCAAACGGCCTCGATCGGCCTCACATGGCCTCGGTCAGCCTCACTTGGCCTCACACGGCCTTTGTTGGCCTCCTCATTTTTTAGCACCTCAATACCTGAAAATTCACAAAACATACTTGTGATTTTAAAAAACATACCCATGATTTTAGAAAACAAAAGAGATACATAAATTAAGTAAAATTAACCAATTAAAACTAATTACCTCACAAAATACCCTTAAAATCACTAAGTATAAGTGTGCTTCCAAGCGCTCATCAATCCTGTGTCAATAACCTAAGATGTAACAGGAGATACATTGATTTCAATCATGTACATTCCTTTAGAAGAAGTTGTATTCTTCTTGCTTGCTAGGAAAGCTTTGCAATGTTTCCTCATGTGTCTAGGATTTCCATAGTGAGGACAAACATCCTTCCTTTCAATAATTCCTTCCATCTTATGAGCATCTTGATTTGCATTTGAGTCAACTTCAACTATCGTCAAGGCTTTGGACATTTCCATGTTTATCTCATAAGTCTCCAACAATTCCAGAACTTCTTGTAAGGTTTTAGTCTCACCTTTCTCAACAAAATCATTGACAAATTGATCAAATGAACTTGGAAAAGGCTGCAAGATCTGATCTACTGCTAAATCTTCACTTAATCTACTAAAATGGGTGTAAAATTAAAAATACTTTTATCTAAGCATATCTGAGACACAATTGGTGTTGTAATTTCTTTTTTAATTAAAAAGAAAAAGCCCTTGGATCCTGTAGGTGCAAAAAATCTACATTTATGGAAATAGGGTCTGATCCCATGATTAAGGCCACTAACAATCCGCTGGGCCAGTACACATAAAGAGAAAAGCTTGAAGCTTACGGGAAACACCGGGGTGGTATTTTTCATAGACACACCAATACTCAAGTCAACAAGGCTGAAGAGACTATTTAATAAGAATTAAGGGAAAGAAGGATTATCGGAGTCTTGTCGGAGACTAGGACTATGGCGAAGGCATCAGGTTCTCAAGACCAAGAACTTAGGAGCAAGTAGGTGATCTTGAGTAGTAGAGATTTTCCGCTTTATGAGAGGTAGGCCTCTGTTTTTATAGTGAACCCAAGGGGTTGGAATCCTAGTAGGATACTGAGTCCTAGTTTGAGAGATAATCCATATCAGGAAAGAAAGATGATTTCTGATCCTTATTAGATTAGGTTTACTAGTTTTAGTAAGATTCAAGATCTTAGTAGAAGGGGAAATAGAATGAGATTCTGATTTCCTATTTATGGACTGCTGTGGGGGAATGGGTCAAAACCTAGTTTTAGCTTAACTTGTAGGATAGCCCAACTCATAGAGTTGACAGTTCACTAGATGAATTTAAGCGTAGGCCCAATCAGAATTGGGCTAAGGCCTAGGGCCGTGACATGTTTATTTCGCTGTTGGGCCTTGTCACGCCTAAGATGATTTCTTTCCCATATAGTTAGCCCCCTATTCTTAGCT